TCCCTATCTCCCGTTTTCCTCGTCCTACGTGGTCCTCTCCCCCCTCTTTCTTCTTATTTCTCCCTCCTCCCCTCATGCCAGTCGGGATCAGGCCACAAGATCAGCCTAGTAATACGAACAAGTTTTTCCTTCGACCGCAACACCTTCACCGCACCCCACCCCCCCTTCGCCCGTAGCTAAAAAAGAGAGTGACAGACGAGACTGGGCCGATGGTGTGTGTGTGTGTGTGTGTGTGTGTGTTTTGTGTGTGTGTGTGTGTGTGTGTGTGTGTGTGTGTGTGTGTGTGTGTGTGTGTGTGTGTGTGTGTGTGTGTGTTTGTGCGTGTATGTGTGCGTGAGAGAGAGAGAGAGAGAGAGAGAGAGAGAGAGAGAGAGAGAGAGAGAGAGAGAGAGAGAGAGAATGGGGGAGGGTGAGAAAAGAAGTACGAGATTAACATATTGATTTTACGAGTGAGGGAGAGAGCGAGGGAGAGAGAGAAATGAGCGAGTGGATGATTGCATTTGTCAGGAGGTTTAGCAAAGTAACTGAAAGGTTTGGGTGTTGAACGTTCAGGAGGAGTTTTATTTGACAGCGGACGAACGGAACCAGAAAGAAAGAAAGAATTTGTTCACAAGGAGGGAGCATTTGACGGGAGGGAAGATTTGACTGGCGAAGGGCAGGGAGAAGTCGGGAGCTGGAGGACAGGTAGGAGCAAAGGCAGGAGCCGGCACCTGCAGCAAGACCCTGGCGGAGATAATGGCGGCTACTAACACCGGACACCGCGCACCCACCACGAAATTGGACGGAGTTGCCAGCGACCATTTTGTGCCGCGGTCACTCCTCAATCCCTGCCTGCCCTCTCTCTCTCTCTCTCTCTCTCTCTCTCTCTCTCTCTCTCTCTCTCTCTCTCTCTCTCTCTCTCTCTCTCTCTCTCTCTCTCTCTCTCTCTCTCTCTAAAACCCTCTTCCTTTTCCTCAATCCCCCTTCCCCTTCCCCTTCCCCCCTTCCTCCGCCTCCCCCATGTGTCTGTGTGGCTTCCCTCTGTATTCGGTAACTATCCCCCCCCTCTCCTTCCAGCTCGTGTTGCTCTTTGTTTGTTTGCCTTGTTTACCAACGTCTCCGTGCCTCTATTGCATTTTTGTGAGGGAAGGGGTAAAGAGGAGGGGGGAGAGGAGGGGAGAGGAAGAGGGGGTGGGTAGACATGGTAATGACTGACTCAGTATCGAGTGTTCTCTTTGGGAACGTGATTATTTATTTGTTTGTTCTTATATTTGTTTATGTACTATTTTTGTTATTGTGTATAGGCGTTTACGCGTCTGGTAACTTTTTTTTCTTCTTTCCTTTCTTTTTTACACATTTGTCCCCATTCATTCGTTAAAGATGTTTACGTTCGAGTGTGCTCAGGTGGGGCATTTGACAGTTGTAGTAATTGGTATTGGAATTGAAGGTTTAGGTCATGGGATAAAATGAAGAAGGGGGTGAAAAGGGGGACAGGAAGGAGGAAGATTGAGAGGGAGGGAGGAAGTGAAAGAAAGGAGGGAAGATAGAGAGGGAGTGAGGGAATGAAAGGAAAGGGGAAGATAGAGGGGACAAAAGAGTAATTGAGGATGACAGTTTAGAATGCGAAAGAGGGTAATTGTGTAACGGAATGAAAGATGGTTTAAAGAGAAGGGGGAAACAGAGGGCACATTTTCTGAGAGAGAAGAATAAGAAAGGATAGAGGAGGTGGGGAAAGGAGGGATGGGTGGGAAGGGAATTGGTTCATGGAGAATGACACCGGAAAATTAGTATAGACAAGATATACAAGAGAGAGAGAGAGAGAGAGAGAGAGAGAGAGAGAGAGAGAGAGAGAGAGAGAGAGAGAGAGAGAGAGAGAGAGAGAGAGAGGAAGGGAGAGAGAGTGAGTGAGTGAGTTAGAGACATAGAATGGAAAAAATGAAGAATGCAAGAGAAAGGAGAAAAGAAGGGAGACGAGAGAATTAGAAGGTGAGGGGGGCGGGGAAGGGGCCCACGAGGGGCAAGGGGGAGGGGTGTGTGGGCGAAGCGGTGAACTCGAAGGCAAGTTTTTACATGTGGCCGCATACGACCTGTTCTTGGCCGGGATCCACTTCAGAAGACCAGGAGAAGGACCTGTTTCGCTGACGCTGTTGCTGTCGTTGTTGCTGCCGTTGTTGTTGTTGTTGCTCCTTATTTGTTACTTTCTTTGCTGTCGCTCTTGTTACTTTTTTTCCTCCCGTTGGGCAGCTGATGTTTTATCGCTGTTGGTTCCGTCTCTGTGGATGTTTGGTGCTATGGTCGCTCTTTTTTTTGGGTTGTTTGGTTGTGATGAAGGTTTGGTGTGAGATGCCGAGGATGGTGAATGATGGTGAGGCATTATGACCGTGCTTTTTGAGTAAAAGTGGAGTGATGGTGTCGGGGAGGAGGAGGAGGGGGGGAGAAGCTGTCGGGGTGTTGCGGTGGTGAGAGTAGCTTAAAGGTTATGCAGTGTAATGGTGAGAGTGTGACGCGTTGGTGCTCAGTAAGAATAGACACTTCGGTGGTTGCGCTGCATCATGCAAGTCAATAAAGGAAGGTGGTCAGGGAGGAGGGAGGGGGGAGGAAAGGGTAACAAAGAGGAGGAGGAGGAGGAGAAGGAGGAGGGAGAGGATTACAGGTGGAGGGGAGGGAGGGCGGCCGGCTAAATGTTCACTTATTTACTCTCCCCAATTGAGACCGGTGTGTGAGTACGAGTCTCTGGTGCCAGGCATCGAGCATGGATTTCCTGTCATTGTTGTAACATGTGGACGCATTCCGGCGACGGGCACGTAGAACTCGGGGATGCCACGCGCTTCTAGGCTACCCCGGGGCGTCAGGGCGCCGCAGGGATACCCCCACAGCTCCTGGGTGATGCCCTGTCGATGCCTCGGGAGTTCGATAAAAAGTAATAGCGCGGTCGCTACCAGCATCCTTACATTGGGTGTGATCCTTGTAAGAATGATATGTTCATGTATGTAAGTTTGTATGTACGAACGTACGTGCACATTTACATACATGTCCGTGTTTGTAAGTGTGTTGGCGTGTTTTTCTGCTCCTTCCCTCCCGCGATATTCAGTTCGTATGTACCCAAATGCCCACTCATGTTTGTTTGTGTGTCTCGATATCATTATCAGTATCACCGGAGATGAGCAGTGTGCGGCGGATGGTAGCAGTTGTCACTCATCGCCGAAGCACTCACTTAACAAGAAAGAAATTAATCCTCACCTTGTTATCGATCACCGGCAATGTCATTCAAGGACATTTAGATAACTGTATTTTTTTGCCTTTTTTCTATGTATTTAATTATTGTCTTTATCATCATTTTGTTTTTGCTCGTTTTTTTCCATGTGGTGAAAGAGATGGAGAACTAATAAGGAGGGAGAAGGAAGAGGGAGCGGAGGAAGAGGACGAGAATGAGGAGAAATAGAACAAGATGATTAAGAAGAATAAATACCGTATAAAGAAAAACAATTAGAAAAGAATGGGAGGAGGGGAGAGATCTTACGAAGGGCTGGACCGAAAGGGGGAAGAAGAGAGACAGAGCCATTCCCACATAGGAGTAAATGTGTAGCTGAGGTTAACCTTGGGAAGCCCTGATGGCGGTCGGAGTGGCGTAACCCGCTCGTTTTAATTTCGGTTGCCGATTCCTCCGTCACTCGCTCGCGCACAATACACAGTCACCGGCGTCTGTATAGTGCAGCTATGGTGTAGATGTATAGTGCGGTTTTGTTAGGCGCATTTCTCTCTCTCTCTCTCTCTTTTTCGCCTCTTTTAAAACCATATCCTTCCCCCATTGAACCGGTGCGTTACGTGTCGCTCTCGATCACCAAGGGTGCGGGTACATACAATGCGGGCACATTTGTGTTGATAATGGGAGGTGTGTGTGTGTGTGTGTGTGTGTGTGTGTGTGTGTGTGTGTGTGTGTGTGTGTGTGTGTGTGTGTGTGTGTGTGTGTGTGTGTGTGTGATCGAGACTTAGGAGCGGGGTAATGGCGGGTTGTAGTTTACGACATCCTTTGTCTGTGTACGCAAGGAAATTTGTCCTTGTGCTTGACTTGTTGCGGACATACTCTTGCCATTATCCTCTCTCTCTCTCTCTCTCTCTCTCTCTCTCTCTCTCTCTCTCTCTCTCTCTCTCTCTCTCTCTCTCTCTCTCTCTCTCTCTCTCTCTCTCTCTCTCCCTCTCCTCCCCTCTCTCTCTCCTCTCCTCTCCTCTCCTCTCCTCTCACATTCTCTCTCTCATTCTCTCTCTCATTCTATATCTCTCCCTCCCTCCCTCTCCTTCGTTCTCTTCTCCTTCACTACTCTTCCGAACCCTCCCTTTTCCCTCTCCAACGTTTCAAGAAGTAAAACTTAATGAAAAGCAATGCGTAAAGTAGCTTAACTTTCGGATATCCTGTTGTGAAATTCGTCGCTCCTGGAGGTGGCTAGACCCCTGGTTACAGTAAATACTTGACTCAGTCTTCGTGTACATGGGAGAGCGTCTGGATTTGTGCGTGCGAGCTTGGGGTCTCACCTTAACGTCTCATTAGCGTCTGAGGAATAAAGGTGCGTTAACATGGAGCTTTGAGAGGGGCGGGACACAAGGTCACGGTTCTGCAGGTCAAAGGTTAGAGTGTCAGACGTCCCGACGTGTGGCCTCCAGTGACACTCGACACGATTTCACCGCGCGCACTCTCGGTTTCGGAATTTGCTTGTTCTTCTCTAGCGAGGAACAAAAGAAGTGAGCGAAGGAGCAATCAGAGACTTTGCGTTTTGAGTTCTCGCGGAGCTGTGAGTATTATGGTTTGTTTACATGATGTGTCGACGCCTCTGTTGGACAACGAGGGCCTTGTGGGGATATGCAGACGAGGTATTCATCGCGGGGATAATGGACTCGTTGTGATTTTGGAGTGTCTGGTGTAACGGGCACCGACAGAAGGTTGTTGGGTGCTATCATAGCTATGCGAGAGTGCCCCCCTTAAGTGCCAGCGTGAATGGGCTCTAATTTGCTTCTTTTCTTTGCAGGAAAGTGTGGCGGCGTGACATGGAGGAAGCGAGGAGCGGGTCGAGTGAGTCATGATCGTCCGCGGACTCGAACTCCACGCCGAGGACACTATCGCACGCCCTCGCGCCCGACGCGCCGCATTCTAACGCGGCTGGAGAAGCAGAGCAGCAGCGAGGACAGTTGCAGCAGTAGCAGCAGTAGTAGCGCTTGCACCACCCCCGACCGGCGGCCCACGCGCCCCTCTCCAAGACAGAACAAAGTACAAACTTCAAGCACCACTAAATCGCGTGAGGCCGAGCTCACCGGCCAGAGCGCAAGCAGCATCAGCGGCGAGCATAGCAGTAGAAGTAACTCCAGTACAAGTAGCAGTAGTAGTAGTTGTAGCGTAACCAGTAGCAGCAGCAGTAGCAGCAGCAGCAGCAGTAGCAGCACCCCGGAGCCAGAGCTACCGACAAGGGCCCCCTCGCGACGCCTGGCCGCGGCCGTTGCGTTACGACACACGCGACTCATCGCTGCCACCTTAGACCGGCCCACGCCCAGCCCGCCCAGCCCGCCCAGCCCGCCCGCCAAGGCTGCCGTCGAGCGAGCCACGCCGAGCCCGCCCTCGAAGGCAAGCGCCGCCGCCAGCCCCCCCAAGGGCGCCTCCGATCGGCCCGGCAAGAGAGGCTCCCCCAACAACGGAGCGACCCGCCGGCCGCCGCAGCGCTGCCGGAGCGTCTCCCCGGGCACCCGCGCCGCCCACTTCGCGGCCGCCACGCAATGCTCAAACAAGAACAACACTAATAACGAGAACAATAGAAACACCGGCAATTGCGAGAACAATAGCAGCAAGAGCCAGAAACGGAAGAGCAACGCCAGCCCGAGCCGAGGCCACAATTCCGCCCCCAGACACGCCGCCGAAAGGGAGTCGCGGCCCGTCTCGCCCGCCCACCATTCCCATTCCAAGACCAGCCGGAAGGATTCCCATTCCACGGATGGCAGTTCCTCCGAGGAACCTGTGGTGATCTACGAGAAGACCACCTACCGCCCCCCGCCGCCCGACGCCCACAGAACCCCCTTGGGCAGCGCCAGCAAGGAAGCGGCCAGGACCCCGCAGGCTCCCCCATCAAAGGACGCCCAGAGAAGAACGGAGGCAGAACCGCGTCCCAAGGAAGACGCCGCGTGCAGACCCAAGAGCTCGCCCGTGCCTGCCCCGAGCGAGGCGCCACGACCCGCCCCGCCACGGAAGGAAGAGGCTCCGTCGATCACCGTCAGCAGCGGGACCCCTCCGAGGTCAAGCAGCGGCAAGAGTCCCGCGAGCGAGGGCGCGAGTACAGCGCCCCGAGAGGAGAGCAGTGACGTGAGTGTGGTGTGTGCCGTCAGGGCGCCAGAAGAGCTCGCCCCGCGCTGCTTGCCCAAGGCCCTTCCTCTTGATGAGGTTCGGCTCCCTGTGCCGCCCGGTGCTTGCCGAAGCGAGAGTGCCGCCGCGAAGTCGCTGCCGCCCGATGTGGTCATAGTGCCGGCCGACCCGCCGCACGAGGAGCCCAAGTGCCAAAGAGAGCGAGCGAGCGAGGGCGCGCCCCGAGTGTGCATCGCCTCCGAGCCGCCGCTGGACCTGGCCAGAGACCACCCGCTCGGCCACCCGCTCGGCCACGCGCACCCCCGGACCACGGAGGGCCCCGCGGCACCCTCGCCCGCCCGAGAATGTAAGCGGCCCGCGTGCTCGAGTGCCAGCGCCTGCACCACGAGCCTCAGCGTCTGCAGCAGGAGCGGCGCCAGCAGCGTCAACAACGTCGCCTTCTGCCCCGGCGACAATCGAGTGAGCGAGGCGGCAGTCAGTGCCCGCAGTAGTGCCAGTGTTGCGAGTGTAGACCAAGGACGTTTCGTGAGTGCCGCGGTCAGCCACCATGACACAGGTGTTAAGAATGGCGTTGTGGGCCACAGTGCCAGCAGTGTTGTGGTGAGCAGTGTCACTGCTCCCCTTTGTGACGGTGTGACTACGGTGTCATCAGTGACAAGTGTATCGATAGTGGCTGGCACTCCAAGTGCCATTGTTAGTGCCGTTGCGTGGTCGTCAGAAAGCAACAAGGTGAACACTACTAGCAGCAATAGCGGCAGTAGTAGTGTTTGTAGTAGTGGTGGCAGCGGTAGTAGCCGTGGGTGTGGTGAGGTGGCGGGCGTGGTGAGCGGGCGGGCAGTGACGATCACCGCCACCAGCGGGCCGGGCCCCACGTGCGCCTCCCGCGTGGCCTCCCCGCCCTGCGTGAGCATCACGGCCGTGGTGCGGAGTCCTGCCGCCCTCCAGCCCGCCAACCCTGACCCGCTCCACTCGGCCCCGCTTCACCATGACGGGGCCTCCCACGCTCCCCTCCATCACCACCATCTCCTCCACCATCCTCAGCCTCACCACCATCAACTCCCCCCTCAGCAGCAGCAGCCCCAGCCCCAGCAGCAGCAGCCCCCGCAGCAGCAAGCCCAGCAGGTCCCCAGCAGCAGCGCGCCAGCAGCCACCAGCTCCAGGATGGACCACTGCGACGGCTCCAGTGACTCGGGTGTGAGTGTGACCGAGCGCTCCGTGTCTCGCTCCTCGGTACTCAGTGATGACCGGTCGTCCTCGGCCGAAGTGAAGCCCAACACCCCAACGCCCACCTCTGCCACTGTCCCCAACAAGACGTCCCAGGCGTCGTCGTCCTCGTCGTCGTCCTCGTCGACCGCTGCTGCGCCCCTCGTGCTCGACCGTAAGGAACCCATCCGCGTGTGGCGCGACCCGTCTCTCGTGTCGCAGTCGGAGCACACGGTGCGTCACATACACTCCGTGCAGCACACCGCCATGTCCCAGCATTACCCGGGGGTGCCGCCCCAGCACCATGCGCCCCCGCCCTCAGGAGGCTCAGCGGCCCCACACGCCCCTCCACACCATAGCTCTCATGGACAACCCCCTGTGTCCCTGGCGCACAGCCTGCCTCCAGGCCTGCCCTATCCTGCACACCCTACTGCAGCCACAGCAAGTTTACCTCAGCCCCTGCACCTACCGCCCGGCCTCCAGCAGCCCCTGGCTGCAGCAGCGGCAGCCGGCCTCTACCCTCTCTCGCACGAGATGTGGAAGCAGCTAGGCCCAGTGCCCACCATCCCCCACGCCTACGCCGGCCTCCTCAACCACCATCAGGAGGAGTTCCTGCAGCGGGAACGAGCGCGGGAGATGGAGCGAGCCGAGAGAGCCGAGAGAATGATGAGGTAAGTCGATCCTTCTCTTACTCACCTTGGCCGTTACGGCGATATTCCAGCGTGCCCCGGGTGACGGCGGCAGCCACCTGATATGTTGTTCTGTGGCCACGCACCTGCCAGACCACGGGGGAGGAAGGGAGGAAGGGCGCTGGGGTGACGGACAAGTGTATTGTGTCATGAACACGGACTCCCAAGCCCCGAGTCAAAGCACAAGTAGTTTTGTCGCCTTAGGTCTTCGTCAGATAGGTCAGGTAAGTCAGAAGCCGTATGGCCACGTGCTTCTGGCATGTGCAAGGTCGACCCTACACAAGGGCTCTCGTGGAGCGACAGAGGAAGGGATGGGGTGGGGGGGTAGAGGAGGAGGGGAAGGAAGGGGTTACTAACCTTTTTTTGTACGGGATCAGAACGTGTCGGGCATGGGTAGGTTAGGAGGGGAGGGCCGTAGGTGAAAGGTTAGACTAACGCAAGGTTATACAGTCAGCGAGCCGCGCCCTCTAGAGAAGAAATTGGCTGCACACGTCGTTAACAATCACGAGTTTTTTGAATGGCTCGGTCACACTTCGGAGAAGCTGAGGGGGGAGGGGAGAGGCTCGCGGGATTGCCGGGCGCGGGACAGGCTTTCCGAGAACGCCTTCTGGAAGCCTCCTCTGCAGGTGCATTGAGTACGGCCGATTAAGACTGTAAACAAAACTTGGGCTCTAGAGATGGGAGATAGAGAGAGGAGAGGACGGGAGTGGAATAGTAAGTGGAGAGAGAGAGAGAGAGAGAGAGAGAGAGAGAGAGAGAGAGAGAGAGAGAGAGAGAGAGAGAGAGAGAGAGAGAGAGAGAGAGAGAGAGAGATACAACTCAAAGTGAAGAATGAAGAGTCTATTGATAGGTAAGCTCTTCTAAACTGAGAGATTCCGCTGCAAGGAAACGAGGCAAGAACAAATGGCTGTTTTGGAGACGAGCCAATTGTTATTATTCAAGTGCAGACTCTCCCTCTTGTGGTTGTCGCGGCATACCCCCCCCTCCCATCTCTCTCACTCACTCACTCACTCACTCACTCACTCACTCTTTCAGACACTCACTTCTTTATCTCACTCATTCCCTGTCTGTCTGTCTTTGCTTGTCTCTCTCATTTTGAACCTTCAGAGAAATGTTCGTTACCCGCTAAAGTGCGAAGGCTACGTCCTTCAATGTGATACAAACTCGTACCTTCATCTTACCGAATACAGACTTCTGACGCAAGCTTTCGTCATCAGCTGTATTATGGGCAGCGATAATGCACCTTTCCCGAGATAATCACTTATTCATTATGTATCCCCTTCTTTGTATCGCCTCTCTTCCCCCCTTCCTTCTTTCCCCAGCTCCACTTCTCCCTACCCCTCTTTCACCTCTCTTTTCATCATCCCTTCCTACTATATCCCTTTTTTCGCTTTCCCTCTCCTTTCCCCTCTTTCGTACGGAGTCGGTCAACAGCAGGGAGTATCCGTGGCCCCCCTGGAACCCGTGACCCTGCTCGTCCTGCTTTCATGGTGATTGAAAGTCGTGCTGGTCACACTCCCAGGAACCGCTTTGTTTTGCTTGTGGATTTGATTGCTGGGGGGGAGGGGTGTGGAATGAGGCGAATGCGTGCGAGAGAGAGAGGGAGGGAGGGAGGGGGGGAAGGGGAAGAGAGAGAGAGAGAGAGAGAGAGAGAGAGAGAGAGAGAGAGAGAGAGAGAGAGAGAGAGAGAGAGAGAGAGAGAGAGAGAGGGATAAGGAGGAGGGGGGGAGAGAAAGGGAAAAGAAGGGAGGGGTGGGGAGAGAGGGAGGAAGGAAGGAAAGAAGGGGGAGGGGGAGGGGAGAGAGAAGGAGGAAAGGAGTGGGAGGGAGGGAGGAGAGGAAAAATGAGGGAGAGAGGGGAATAGGGAGAAAGGAGAAGGACAGAGGGGGAGGAATGGGGAGCTAAAGGAAAGGAGGCAGGGAGGGGCAGTGTGCCTTGACTGAATAAGAAATGAGGGTCTGAGAGAGAGATACGGACCGACAGCACATCCTGATGAAGCCGCCTAAAGATTCCGGAAAGTGGTCAAGGAAACGCAGGGAAAGATCGTGTACCTTTTCCAAGCGCTTCATCATTATTTCTGTCCTCATCTATTCCTTTATCACCTTTTTTTCGATATTTTTTTTCGTCTTCCTCTTCCACGGTTTGGCGTTTGCGTTCATCCAGGACAAGCTCTCCAGGTCAGAGTCCTTCCCTCCCCCCTGCTTCCCACTCCCTGTGTCCTGGGACGCATCATGCTACTCCCCACTACCCGGGTTTGGTTATTCTATGCGAGAGATTTACTCCGCCACATTCCCGACCCTCAGTCACGTCTGTGCCCCCACCCTCTTCCTCCTCTCTCTCTCTCTCTCTTTCTCTCTCTCTCTCTCTCTCTCTCTCTCTCTCTCTCTCTCTCTCTCTCTCTCTCTCTCTCTCTCTCTCTCCTCTCTCCTCTCCTCCTCCCTCCCTCCCTCTCTCTCTCTCTCTCTCTCTCTCTCTCTCTCTCTCTCTCTCTCTCTCTCTCTCTCTCTCTCTCCCTCTCTCCCTCTCTCCCTCTCTCCCTCTCTCCCTCCCTCCTTCCCTCCCTCCCTCTCTCCCCCCTCTCCCCCTCCCTCGCCCCTCCCCCCTCTCTCTTCCTCTCCCCTCCCCCCCCTCTCTCTCCCTCTCCCTCCCTCCCTCCCTCCCCTCCCCCCCCTCCCCCTCCCCCTCCCCCTCCCAGCGCCACTACCTGTCGCTGTAACGAAGTGTCCGCTCGAAAGAAAAATAATAATAATAAAAAAAGAAAAAATCCGGTTTTTCATGACCCCGCTATCCGGACCGCATTGCCTCAACCCTGTTATAGCGAACCCTATGTCTGGATGCTGCTAATGCATCCTTAATCCTTCTCTGTTGGCTGGCGGTTGTCGTCGGCGTGAGGCGTACATAGGCGTGAGGGCATCGTCGTTCCCATGTATGCTGTGTATGTGTGTGCCTGTGTATATTTATATGTATGTATGTGTGTGTGTGTGTGTGTGTGTGTGTGTGTGTGTGTGTGCATTTACATGCAAAGTAGGAGAGAGGGCTTAGAGGAGAGGAGGGAAGGAGGGGCAAGGGAATGGGAGGAGGGAAGGGCGGGGAGGGTAGAGGGGAAGGGAGAGCATGCCGGGCAGTCTCCGTATAAGGCGTGGTGCAGGTTGGGTGTGTTGTACACTCGCACTCACTCTCGACATGGAGGGGGTGAGGGAGGAGAAGACGGAAGGGGAGGTAGGGGGGGGAGGAGAATGCACTAGCAGTCATCTTCCCTGCCGAGAATGGAGGAAGGAGGGAAGCATGTACGTTGACGAACGGTCTCTCAGGTAAAACAGAGAAGAAAATGGAGGTGGGAAGGGCCGTTGGTTTCATTGTTGGAAGAGAGGAAGGGGGAAGGAGACGGAGAGGGAGAGAGAGAGATTGATTTGAAGGGAATGGATATTGATGTAAAGTTTTGCATTGAATGGAGCAAAGAGCAGGATAAGTGACCCCTTAAACAGTCCCATGACGATATCATCTTATCTAGATGAATGAACAGTATCACTCAAACACTCGAGACTAAAGAGACAAGAGGTAAGGGAGGCGAGGGTAGGAGGGGGGAGGTGAGAATGAGAGAGGAAGTGAGGGAGAAGAAGGAAAAGAAGAAGAAATAAGCAAAGAGAGATAGGGGAATAGTGAAAAAAGAGTGAGAGAGACGGAACACATGATATGTGTGAACAGTGTAGAACAGGTAGCAAACGAGCAGGTGTGAGGGTTGGGGGAGAGGGAAGGGGAGAGTGCACAGGTGAGGGGGAGGGGGTGCAGGTGTTGGCGCCAAGCGACGAAGGTAATGACCGAAACTTGACGAGCGAGAAGCCAGGAAGTGCTTGCTGCTGATGGCGATAATGGCGATCGCCGTGGCCAGCGCCTGCCATTTTGTTATCGTCTCTCATTTTTATTGCATCTGCAGCCGTAGTCATGGTCTGATTTTGTGCAGGTTCATTTTTCTCTCTTTTCGTTTTCTGTTCGTTTTCTTACAGGCAATGAGAGATAGAGAAGGGGGGAGGAGGGAGGGAGGGAATGAATGTAAGAAAAGGATTTGTTAGATGATGGTATGAAATGGTAATAAAGATGTTAAGTAAGGACAGTAAAACGGCAAATACACAAGGAAGCGAAGAGTAAAGACCAAGGCAAGGCGATCGAAGAGAAGAGAAGAGAGAAGAAGAACGAAAAGGAGACCAGGAGTAGCGTGAGAGAGGAGAGAAAGTCTAGGCAGCACCCAGTCCGCCCGCCCGCCCGCCCACCGCAGCCTGTGTTGAGTGAACTTTTGCTCAGTAATTTACAGTTCCCCTTCCCTCTCCTTCCTCTGGCTACCCGGACAGAGAGAGAGAGAGAGAGAGAGAGAGAGAGAGAGAGAGAGAGAGAGAGAGAGAGAGAGAGAGAGAGAGAGAGAGAGAGAGAGGGGGGGGGGGGGGAAGAGGGAGAGAGAGAGAAGGGGGGGAGAAAGAGGGAGAGAGAGAGAAGGGGGGGGAGAAAGAGGGAGAGAGAGGAGGGAGAAATAGCGAGAGAGGGGGGGGGAGAAATAAGGAGAGAGAGGGGAGAAATAGGGAGAGAGAGGGGGAGAAATAAGGAGAGAGAGGGGGGAGAAAGAGGGAGAGGGGGGAAGAACGAGAGAGAGAGAGAGAGAGAGAGAGAGAGAGAGAGAGAGAGAGAGAGAGAGAGAGAGAGAGAGAGAGAGAGAGGAGGGGAGAGAGGGAGAAAGAAAGAGAGGAGGAGAGAAAGAGAGAGAGAGGGGGGAGGGGAGCAGAAACCGACAGAGACAGAAACTGACTCCTCCAGTGATGGCCAGATGACGTGTACTCGAGCGGCAATACATACCTGCCTTGTCTGCCTTGCTCTCTTGGCCCGGCCCGACCAGCCTCGTTACTCACCTAGGTGGAGGAGGAGGAGGAGAAGGAGGAGAATAGCTCTAAGGATAGTCAGATCATTGCGAAGTAAAGAAGACAAAGGCACAGAAG